AGAAGGATTTTAAAATAACTTAAGGCATAAATGTCTTCCACATCAAGACGACTTGTCACGTCCAAGACCCATGTCCCTACCTTCAAGGTCAAGGTCACACTTTGAAGGTACATGTACTCGTTCTCTGGAGAAAAGTTTGAAGATAAAATTTTTGTCCAGACTGTAACTTTGTCATGCGTGGAAGGGTTTTGAAATAACTTGGCACAAATGTCTACCACATCAAAACGATGTGTCGTCAGTAATTGTCAGTATTTTGGGAAAATTGGATTGAAGAATATCAGAAAAATATCAATAAAATTAAATGCTGACTATCCTTAGTGATCATAGGGTATCAACATTTACATTTTCTATGTCATTAACCTTCAGTACAAATTCATTTTATTTTTAAGAAGCATAATCTGTTCCTTCAACATGTATGCAAGAACTCGCAAGAAACTACATTTAAAATAGAAACTTAATTTATTATATATTTATGAATGAAATATTGAGAAATATTGATGAAATAAAATGTGTATTTTCTATTTCTGTATTTTCACTGTAAAAAAATATTTTTCACTTCAGTGAAACATATTTTTAGTATTTTCACTGGTGTCTAGCTTTTTTCAAAATTCTGCCAGTACACAAAATTTTAGGGAAAGTCTTTCAAATTGAAATGTCAAAAAAGAGAAATAAGTATATATAATTAACAGAAAATTCAAGTTTTTTCTATAAATAAAGGATTTATTTTCATCTTGTGATATGAAAATTATCATACTTCTTTCGTGACTACCGCCACTCATGAAATATTTATTTTCATACCATTCAATGAAAATTAATCCTGTATTTATAGAAAAAACTTGAACATTTTTAAGTGATTAAGTTCAGACAAGAAAACAGGGAAGGATACTGAGTTTATTTGAGACAGGTGCAAGGTTTTGTATTAACTAGTTCCTGTTTGTGTTCTCACTAGAAAGAACTATTTACATGCTGCCTGTTCAGTATTCCCATCCCACATTAACCTGCCCACTAATTATTATATAAGATGAAAAGGTAAAGTTGTTGATATTGAAGGAGAAAAAGAGAAAAGAAAGAAAAAATTCAGACAAAAATAATGAGCATTTTTATACATGCAGGTTAAGAGCATTTACATGGATGTTACAACATTTTTGACATGTCTGAAAACAGATTAAGTTTAATTTTTCCCTTAACATTGTGCAGGTTCCAGAAACTCTTATATGAACAAACGCTATCATCAAATAGTTGGCCACAACTTTTTTGACAAGATTACACAAGCAACTCAATCAATACAAGTATATATATCTGTGAATTTCTTCCATTGACAGTGGTATAGCTCTACATCAAAATTATAAAATTCAGTTGAGGAAAATTTAGATAAGAATACAAGGCAATGCAGGGATTATGAGTAGAACAAGCCCTCCTAGACAGAAGCCCTTCCATGTAAAAAAATGACATATTTAGAGTTTTAGACCATATGTAGGATAAAAGCTCTATCAAATTAGCAGGTAAAACAAAAGTACCCCTCTTTAACAGCATGTACTGTAGTGAAGATTTATTAACAGAACAGAACAACACTTTGGCCAACCTTAAAAAAATGTTTGTTTGCAGTAACCCGACCCAGAATTTTCAAGGTGGGTAGGTAGGTCGATTTTTTTTTTTTTTTTTTTTTTTATGAATTGTACTCCCAAATAAACATGGAATTTCAAAATGCTGGACAATATATGCTTTGATAATCTGGTAACAATTAATAAATTGATAACTGAATTCTAATTTAATAAGACCTACATTTTATTTCTTCTATTAACCTTTAACAGAACGAAAACAAAGCACAAGGCATAATTTTCTGATTCAAAAAATTTTTTTTTTAATTTTGTGAGTCGGTCGCGTTACTGCAAACAAACATTTTTTTAAGGATGGCCTTTATTATGAGTATCAACATGAAACATCATTGATAGAATATCACAAATCACAAAAGAGAAAAACTGTGACAAACATAGTTACAATATTTTGTCATTAGTAAAACAATATAAATATGATTTTGTATTTTCTTGTGTTTCATGTTTGTAACATATTTGTAAATTTATTTTTGCTGTTTTCAATGTTATGAATGTTCTGTTTAATGAGATATAATATATAACTGAAAGATATAGATAGTTTGTAGTCCAACCTTTAAACAGATATACATGATATGCATATATATATGGGGGAGAGTGAGTTTTATCTTACATGTACAATTCATGAGAGAGTGTTAGTCCACTATATTATTTTAAAATTGGAGGGCTACTCTCTGCTTTTTTGTTAGCCACTTTGTTGCTTTCTACATGGGTTGGCAATATTGTGGTTACTAGGGTAAAAAATTTTAAAAAATAAATCGCTTTATTTAAATGATGGATCCTGTGATAATTTAATGATATTGAATTTTAAAGTTTTATTATGCTCCCCGAAAAATTTCGGGGGAGCATATAGTCGGCGCCTTGTCCTTCCATTCGTCTGTCCGTCTGTTGTCTTGTCCGGAGCATAACTTGAAAACCCTTGGAGATAATTTGTTGAAACTTCATACAGTGGTAGAGGGCATGGGGGGGGGGGGGGGGGGGGGGGGGGGGGGGGGGGGGGGGGGGGGGGGGGGGGGGGGGGGGGGGGGGGGGGGGGGGGGGGGGGGGGGGGGGGGGGGGGGGGGGGGGGGGGGGGGGGGGGGGGGAGTGCAGTGTCAAAGAACCATAACTCTATTTTGCCCCGGTTTTTGAATTATCTCCCCTTATAGAAAAATCTTGTCCGGGGCATAACTCTAAAATTATAAGAGATATCAACACACACACACAATAGATCTCAATGGGTAGATGTGCAGTGCACAAGAACAATAACCCTTTTTGTCCTAATTTTGGAGTTATTGCCCTTTGTTTATTTTAACACTTTGAACTTTGTCCGGAACATAACTCTAAAACTATAAGAGATATCAAGATGAAACATTGTAGGTAGATAGAATCTCATTGAGTAGAGGTGCAGTGCAAAAGAACCATAACTCTGTTAAGCCTCATTTTTGAATTATCTCCCCTTTTAGAAAAAATCTTGTCCAGGACATAGCTGTAAAACTATAAGAGAATATCAACATGAAACTTTGTAGGTAGATATATCTCAATGGGTAGATGTGCAGTGCACAAGAATCAGAACTCTGCCTTGCCTAATTCTGGAGTTATTGCCCTTTGTTTATTTTTACTTTTTGAAATTGTCCGGGACATTACTCGGAAATCATAAGAGATATCATCAAGAAACTTTGTAGGTTGATAGATCACATTGATTAGAAGTGCAGTGCAAAGAACAGTAACTCTGCCTTGCCTAATTTTGGAATTATTGCACTTTGAACTTTTTCCAGGGACATAACTCTGAAACAACAAGAGGTGTACATTCTGTGTCCAAAACCTATTCAGGGAGCATCACCCGGCTCAAACCGGGCTCTTGTTAGTTAGGTAAAAAGAAAATCAGAATGTGTGCAGATGACAATATGTTGGTCATTACTGTATTATTGAATGTTATTTTGAAATGATTGTACATGTATTTTATTGGTAATTAAGTTTTGTTTCTCAGAGCATTAGGTCTAAAATAGAATATTGTTAGTTCCACCTCTCAATATCAACCCTAATCACTGCTATCTAGAAAGTTGTATTGCCAAACAATTAAAAATAATGCCTTTTTTCGAAGCTTTCTATCTATGAGAATCACATCTTTATTATGCTCCCCGAAAAATATAGTCGTCGGGTTGTTTGTCCGTCAGTCAGTCCGTCTGTACGTACGTCCCGAATTCGTGTCCGGCCCATAACTTTGTTATTTGAAGTTGGATTTTAAAACTATTTCACAGAAATGATCACCATATTGAGACGACGTGTTGAGCGTGACCTTGCAGCAAAATCGTGTCCAGTCCATAACTTAGTTATTTGAAGTCGAATTTTAAAACTATTTCACAGGAATGATCACCATATTGAGACGACATGTCGCTCTCAACATATGGGTCTCTACCTTGAAGGTCAAGGTCACAGCATGACCTTGCAGCAAAATCGTGTCCGGCCCATAACTTCGTTACTTGTAGTCGGATTTTAAAATTATTTCACAGAAATGATCACCATATTGAGACAATGTGTTGGGCGTAACATTTGGGTCACTACCTTGAAGGTCAAGGTCACAGCATGACCTTGCAGCAAAATTGTGTCCGGCCCATAACTTTGTTATTTGAAGTCGGATTTTAAAACTATTTCACAGAGATGATCACCATATTGAATCGACGTGTTGCATGCAACATTTGGGTCGCTACCTTGAAGGTCAAGGTCACAGCATGACCTTGCAGCAAAATTGTGTCCGGCCCATAACTTTGTTATTTGAAGTCGGATTTTAAATTTATTTCACAGAGATGATCACCATATTGAATCGACGTGTTGCATGCAACATTTGGGTCGCTACCTTGAAGTCGAATTTTAAAACTATTTCACAGAAATGATCACCATATTGAGACGACATGTCGCTCTCAACATATGGGTCTCTACCTTGAAGGTCAAGGTCACAGCATGACCTTGCAGCAAAATCGTGTCCGGCCCATAACTTCGTTATTTGAAGTCGGATTTTACAACTATTTGACATAAATGATCACCAGATTGAGACAATGTGTCGTGGACAACATTTGGGTTGTTTTTACACTTTGAACTTTGTCTGTGACATAACTCTGACACTACAAGAGGTATACCTTCCTGTGTCCAAAACCTATTCGGGGAGCATCACCCGGTTCAACCGGCTCTTGTATTTATCTTATGTTTTATTCAAACTGGGATATATGATGCATGCAATTTTGGTTCTAAGCTTGACTGTGAACATAAACACAGAGTTTGTATAGATTTGTATTGAGTACATTGATGAACACATTGGTTTTCAAAACTGATAAATATTTAAGGTTTGTCACTGTCACACAGATTCTAGTTGAGTTTCAATTTTTTTTTCGTATATTTGAAATGTAAACTTATACAAATGTATTTATATTTTTGCAGGGGTCACAGATTGGTCAGGAAGATAAAGAGAATGTATTTCTGGACTGTTTTGGAGCATTCTGGGAAGTGTCAGGCACTCATATTATACAACATAATCAAGCATTCAAGGCAAGAATCAGTAACGAAGTTCGTGAAAAACTCCTGAATGAGGCTGTCCAAAGGTACGTAATTAAATACCATGAGATACGGCCTTGGTCATGTAGTCAGTTTTTACATACAAGCCAGGTTGAACATTTGGGCAGTCTGACCTGAACTTGCACTGTTTGTTGCATATTGTTAAGATTGTACTTATCAGGACAATTCTTAAGAAACTTGTATGTGTCATCAACCTGTGCAAACATTTTGCACCTATTCCTTATCAGGTATTGATTTTGAAAAAAACACCTAAATGGCAAGATTTTCATGTTGCTTGTGGTTCTATATATTGTACAAATTATTTGCATCTCTTCTATTGCAATTTCATTGTAGTTTAATAGACCAGGGGAGGCAACTTCATTTTAATAATTTTACAAAGTGAGAATTATACCATGATACTGTAGTATCTATCCTATTATCAAGTGTTTAAACACATGTTTTGTATAAGATATTTCTGAAATGGACTTCATCATTCATCATTGTATGGGATATATAAAAACATGTATGCCTGAATAGTCAACAGTGTACATCATTATTAGACAGCACAGAATTGTGCCGGTAGATCATGGTCTGCTTTAGTCACATAGGTATAATATGTGGCTTCAAGCAGGCTAAGGGTTAATAGAGTTATTATAAACAGTACTTATTTTGCTAAGATAGATTTATAATGTAAATGTATAAAAATAATGCTTATACTGTTTTCAGGTCAATAAGAGAGAGACTACTTGATATTACACTAGAGTTGTTCACTCTAAATACAGAGAAACGTAATGTCTGTACTCAGACTCAGCGTAGAACCATGATACCATCCTCCTGTCAAGTCAGACCTTCCACCTGTGATAAAGGTATCAAATATAGCAGACTAGTTACTAGTATCTTATTGTTTTAGCTGTCGAGTTAGCTCAATAGGTAACGCATTGGACTGTGAATCGGGCGAACCGGGTTCAAATCCTGGACAGTGCAGGTCACTTTTGTTGTGATTGATCATGAAATCCTTTCTAAGGTCATTCACACTCTACCTCTGCTCTAGCTTCAGGCATGTAGAGAAGTTAACAGTTCATTTTGAAATTGAAGGCAAACAGTACTGGTTAACTGCTTGACAGCCTGCCTAGGAACTATGCGGTGGCTGAACTGTTCTGGTAAATTCAATGTGACTTAACTGCCATGATTAGGAGTGAAAACTACCAACACCACCACTATTGGTTTACCAGACCCCTGGTAGTTAACAGAAATAGGTCTGGGATTTGAATATATGTTTGTGAGTTTGATTACTTGGCACCATACACCAGTATGTCTAATGGCTTGTTATCCAGTTGTTTCAAGTTATTCAGATTATTTAGTTATCATTTACTTGTGAAGAAGACTCCATAAATTTATTTGGTAGCTGTCAGTCACTGACACAGTCCTAAACTGAAGCAACATTTATCTTTTAATGTCATTAGGTCAAGGTCATTGTGACTTATAAAATATTTGTCTTTTTAAGAATATGGGTTCCCCTTGTCACAGGTTTGTGAAACTAATATACTATAATTATCTATATACAATGTATATATACTATATATATTACACTTTACTTTTATGTAATATTTGTAAGTATGTAATTAATACCATTTTGACTGCAAAAAATTTAGGGGCATAAGCATCTAATGGACATATCTCTAGTTTAATTTGGATTTACTGAATTCAAACAGAAAGACGACAAAATAAGCTTGAAGATTTAAGAGTCTCATATGAAATAACTATTTGATGACTAAATTTTACTAGAGCATTGTTGTAAATTTCAGCAACTTTTATGGAATCTGAATGGCAAGATGAAGGATTTAGAAACCTTGAAATGGATGCTCTTGAACATATGAACTGGCAAGTAAATACTGATTATGCCTCTCCTGACCCTACCCTTAGTCTCCGCCCTCTTGGTAGAGGTGGACCACTTCTTTCACAGTCATCTCCAAAAGATAGCTTCTATTCTACAAAGTCCAGTGACACATTAGACTCTCCAAGTGCACATGACCTATCAAAAGGATCGAACATATCTGACAGTGTTTACGTGACTCCAGGAGAAACTCGTGCTAGTTGTTCATCTTCTAAATCTGATAAAAGTGATGTAATGAATGGTGCACAAGAAAAAGGAATTGCTGCACACAGTCCTAAGGAGAACAAGAGAAAGAATCTAATAAACAGTCTAAAAGCTGATTTTGAAGACTTTGAAGAAGATGATGTTGCAATGGAAAATACAAAAGACTCTGAACTCTCAAGAGATTTTCAAGGTGGAAATTTAAATATGAATAATAATAATTCCAGTAAAACTGTCACTGAACAAAAGAGTGCAATAGGTAAAAGCATTGTTGATTGGTTTGATTATGAACCACCAGCTGTGGAGAAAGTAAGAAATGGTGTAAAACTTGAGGAGAAACGATTAGAGACGAAAAAGAAATTAGATAGTACATCAATGGAAATAATTGAGCATGAGTACGCCCCTACAAAAGATCTCACTAAGAAAAAGTCCAAGAAGAATAAGGAGAAAAAACATGAAAAAACAAATTTGTTAGTAGACAATAGAAAGGAAGAAAAAGACAAAGTTATTGACTCTGGAGCATTTGAAAATAGTCTGCAGCAAGCTATAATAGAATCACTACAAGACACTGGAAACGTGACAGTTAAAACAGCTGATTGTGTTGAAGTAGATGCTGATGAGAATATAGATTGGTGGGCAATAGGTGAGGGAGGGGATACTAAATATTGTGAAGATGATATGCGTTTGTCTAGAGGGGATAATATATTTATTGATAATGGGCCTGATGTGATAATAGAAGATGAATTTGAACAAGAAGATAATGCTGAAATAAATAAGGTTGCTGAGGAAAAAGTTGAACCTCAAGGAACCACAGACACTGAAAACCATCTACATGTTGTTAGTAAAACAGATAAAAGTCTGTCAGATTCTGATGTCGGTGATATTGATATGGTGGTCCAGCAGAAAATTGACAACTTTGCTTTTGAATTAGATGATGATGATGATGAAAAGTGGGATAGTGAAAGTTCAGATGATCCTAATGTTAATGACTGGGTTGGTTTGCAGCATGACAATCCAGGCTATCAGGAAGACTTTCCTGAAATTGATCCAAGAACTGTGTTGCCATCAAGAAATGAGAGCTTAGTACCATCTGCTGACACCATGTGTTCTGATAGAAAATTTGAGAGCAGCTTTCCAAAAACTAATTTAGCAGAGTTTGTTAATGTGAATGAAGAGTGTGATATTGAAGAGAGGCCACGAGCAACAAGATGGGTGCCTGGACGGAGAAAATGTATGAACTGTTACAGTGAGGACCATACCACAGAAAGCTGCCAACAGTTTGTAATAATGCAATAATCAACAACCTTCCATTACATAATACTGAACTTCTGAGGAGACAGAAAGAAGGAATGTATTAATGAAATAGTTATGTCAGAGTTTGTCTGTCAGTCCTTTTGGTAATTGTCAGTTTAGCAGCCTTTCTTTTAGAATGTATAATGAAATTTCAGACACCAGGTTAATAATAATAGCTAGATATTTACTTTTCATCAAAAACAAAGATTATTCTCATTAATAATTAAATGTTTACCCATTACATTAGTTAAATGTATGCCTATGGAGATAGTTGTAAGGGTTACTGATTTATGTGACTGGGTACATGAAAACTGTTTCTTAATCTTATTCCATCGACTTTTATGAACAGACTTGTTTGTATTCAGTAGATTTTATTTGGGTTTTTTGATGCCATGACTGTGTAGAGATTTTTCCTGATCTGACATTATGATATAAATGAGAATAGTTAATTTATTCATGTAGAATATCTGTGTTCATTGAATGTGCCATGTAAATGTTATTTATTTGTGTTATATTTAAAGGCTCATTTTGCACCCAAAATGATATCATTTTATTTCTCATAATTTTTTCTATCCTGTGTGTTATGGTAAAAGTTTCTGAAACAGTTCTCATTGGTTAAGCAGCTGAACTATTATGTGCATTTTAGATGTAATTTAAGTTACAGTAATTCATTGTATTACATGGAAGACAAAATACTAACTAATTTTCCTTTTGCTGCTTTTTTAAAGATATAATTTTAAATTCTTCACTGCTGTCTTTAGATGATAAACATTTTAATCTTTTATCAAAAACATTTTCAAAACAAAGGTTTCGCTTTTCTTGAGAGAGAAATTTTATTAATTTCTGAGGCTTTATGTGTCTTTGATAAGGAACAAGAAAATATGCTTAATTTGTTTGATTTCATTGTGGTATACAGCAATAAATAACGGAAATTATTATCCGGGAAAATCCCGCTATCTGTGGAATGATTTGTAGTCATAAAGTCAGTTGTTCTAGCCAGGTACTTAAACTGTGTGACATGTCAGAAATACTTTATAAACCTTCTGGGGGCTTCCTCTACCTATTAAAAATTTGAAAAGGTACAAAATTACTTTCCTTCAGTGACAGTGTAGGAACTAGAGTAAATGAGATTGTATTATGTCTGTGAAGGGGATGATACTGAAGTGAGGTTTTTTGTTTGTTTAGATACAAAAATTGTTTTCACCTATGACTTAAACTGCTTGACAGAGTTGCCAAATGACATCAGTAGTGCCTGTGAAACTTACAATAAAACGAAAAAACAAATGCATAGCTAAGCATGATGCAAGTTAATAGAAAATTTGTAAGTTTTATGATCAGATTCAGAATAACTAGTTACTGCAAATGTTTCAGTCACAAAGTGTGATACAATGTCTTTTGTTCTTCACAATTTTATCACTAGTCAGTATTTTGCAGTGAAGTTGGTAATTACTGGTTAACTAGTTATCCAGTTAAGCCAGATAGGTGAACCAACCTCCCAGATATGACTGAAAATGTTAAAATTAAAATAAAAAACAGACAAGCAAAGCTTTACCATTGAAGGTTATCAGTTTTCACAGGTATAACTGATTAGTACTGAAACAGAAACCATGGAAACTTATTATGAGATGATCAATAATTACTGAATTGTGGACTTTTTTGTGCCCCCACGTTAGTGGCGGGCATTTAGATTTACCCTTGTCCGTTTCCCGCCGTCCCCGTTCACTTTTTTGTGTCGCACGTAACTTCAAAAAAGTATTTGACCTAGAGTCATGAAAAACTTTTAAACCAGGAATGATTTTGATCAGCAGGTGTTAGTTGTGGCACCTGGGTAATTTTTCGTCTGGAAAATATTTTTTAGTATTTTAGAAGTTTATTGCCCTTGACCTTAGTAAAAAAATTTTGCATTTTCAAATTGTGTCGCATGTAACTCCAAAAAGTATTTGAACCTAGAGTCAAATGAAACTTTACAGAAATGTTGTCACTTGTGTTGTTGTGCACCTGGGGTTTTTCGTCTGGATATTTTTTAGTAAATTTTCAGAGTTATTGCCCCCTTGACTTAGTAAAAAATTTTGCAATTTTCAACTTGTGTCCCATGTAAACTCAAAAAGTATTGACGCTGGAGTCATGAAACTTTACAGAAATGTTGATTCAGCATGTGTAGTTGTGCACCTGGGTATTTTTTGTCTAGATATTTTTTCAGTATTTGTAGAGTTACAGCCCTTGACTTAGTAAAAATTTTGGAATTTTCAAACTTGGTCGCATGTAACTCAAAAAAGTATTTGACCTAGAGTGGATGAAACTTTATAGGAATGTTGAATCAGCATGTGTTGTTGTGCACCTGGGTATTTTCGTCTGGATTTTTTTAGTATTTTCAGAGTTATTGGGGGCCCTGGACTTAGTAAAATTTTGCAATTTTCCAACTTGTGGTCGCATGAAACTCAAAAAGTATTTGACCTAGAGCATGAAACTTTTACAGGAATGTTGATCACAGCATGTGCAGTTTGTGTATCAAGATATTTTTCGTTTCTGGATTATTTAGAAATTTTTTAGAGTTTATTGCCTTCAACTTAGAAAAATTTTTTTTGCAATTTTCAACTTGTGTCGCAAGTTACTCAAAAAAAGGATTTTGACATAGTCATTAAACCTTATGGGCAGGTTGCTCTATCTCTCATAATTTAGATTTGGCATCCCTTGGGGTTTTTTGCTTGTGGATTTATCCAGTATTTGTAGAGTTATTTCCCTTGACTTAGTAAAAAGATTGACAGAACAGTGGCGCAGTGGGGGCACCCGTGTCCTATGGACACATTTCTAGTTTTACCTCATTTGACAATGAGTATTGAACATATTGTTTTACCTTTACCACAGGTATCATTGTATACAATAATTGAATATATCTATGAAATATAAGTAAACTGAATTGAATAAAAGTTGCATGTAGCATCAGATATGTTATAAAATTGGTGAGATGGATTTAGCACTATATTTTGCTCTAATGTTTGTTACTTTATCTGCAAAATAGCAGTTTTAACTTAAGCTTGACTAATCAAAGTCAGTGTTGTTAAGTTAGTTAAGTTTTTGCTTGCATGTTGGTATCTCAAAAACAACTGAAGGAAATGGGTTGAAACATCACACAATTGTTTTTCCTGATAATCTAATATGATGAGCTTAGGTCTCATAACTCTGACTTACCATTTGACAAAGTTATGCCCCTTTTTCACTGTCAAGCACTGAGAATAGTTAGCATGCTGTCTTAATAATCAAATTAAACACACCCATTGCCTTTATCAGTATTATTTTTCATCAAGGTTGATGATATTGAGAATATTATTATAAATTTCTTTACTTTATTGAGTGCTAAATACTTTGTTTGGTTCATCATTTTGTATAGATAGCTAGATCTATTTCTGTTATTTTGAAATGATTAAATAGAAGTAATGTATGCATGTGGGATGTAAATAATTATTTCTCAATATTACTGTAATAATACATATATATCTGGTTTCGAGTGTTACATGTAGATAACCAACTTGAAGATATATGTGACATGATAGATTCATAATGTTAATTAAATAACAACCAACACAAAGCAATGTATTCAACCAATATTACATGTACAGGACAAAAATCAAAGGGTCATAATTCTGCCAAAAGCGTTCAAAACAAAATCCTTACAGTATGGATCAGAGCATTTCTCTTTAGTCAGTCTGTTATATTTTCGTTGAAATTCATCGGGAAATGTAGATGGCGCTGTCTGCCTGCCAATATTCTATCTAATCACAATCATTTTGATTGAGTACAGCAAACATTAGATATACTGTATAGAATTGACTTGTTAGTCCCCTACCGGTTTAACAGGAGGGGACTTTAGGTTTATCCTCCGTCCGTCTGTCAGTCCGTCCGTCCACAAAACTGGATCCCGCGATAACGCAAAAAGTACTGAAAATATTTTTATGAAACTTGATATATGGATAGATGGCAGTATGGAGATTATGCACGTCTTTTATTTTTCTTCCTATGTTGAAAATTCTGGTTGCTATGGCAACAAATAGTCTGAAAATATGGCAAATTTAACACATAAACTGGATCCAGTGATAACTCAAAAAGTACTGAAAATATTTTTATGAAACTGAAATATGGGTAGATGGCAGTCTGGAGATTATGCACATCTTTCTCTTTTCTTCCTATATGGGAAATTCTGGTTGCTATGGCAACAAATAGCATGGATTTCAAGATTTCTGATTTAAATTTTTCAGCTTTTTCACTATAAGTTCTTTATTTCTTAAGGTGTTTACTTCAAACTTTAAATATAAGTTTCTAATCATCAACCACATCATATTTAATGAGGTTTACAACTCTAGCACAAAAATTATCTGTATTACCTCCCTTGAACTTAGAATTTTTATGAAAAAAAATGTCTTTTTTTAAATAACTTCTTTATTTCCTAATGTATCTGCTTCAAACTTCATATATATGTTTCTTATTATCACTCAACATTTTTTAGAAGGTTAAATACTCTAGCAAGACTATTTCCAGAATTATCTCCCCCTTAAACTTAGATTTTTTTGAGAAATTGGTATTTTTCACTCCAACTTCTTCATTCCTTATAGGATTTACAATAAAATCCCACATCGTAATCATATGACAAGGTTGTATAAACATAATTTCCTTACTAGGCAGGGAAACTTAACACATTACTGTGATATAGACAAACTTAGAACTCAAAAGATTTAAGTTCATTCATGTCATTCATTCACTGGTAAAATTGAATAGCCATTGGCCCATCAGAATGTTGCTGGGGTTCTTACCGGTAGGGGACTTATGGATTGCTTGCAATACTATGATAATTGCTTGTTTGAAATTTATGAGATAATTTTGTTTGTATTTTTTTCTTCAATTTTATGAAATAGAAATGAATTTGGGATTGATTATGTAACATTATGTAATCCGTCCTGCCAAGTGTAGGTCATGCTATGAAGTATAGATAGAAGTTTATAGGAAAACATGTACTTAAGACATAAGAACTAACGCTGGTTGTAAAGGGAATATCTCATAGGGGATGGGGCGTGTACTTGGTGCATAACTCATCAATTGATATGTTTTTAAGATAAGGTTGTCCTTACCAAATTTATGTAAACATACAAGTGCTGTATGTACAAAGTTATTGTTAAAATAGTTACCCTATTATTTTGAAAATAAAACTTGTTGAGTAAATGTAAAACAGTGTTATTATCAATAATTCCTTTCTACATCGCAGTCTGAGTTGTAAACCACTGCGTTTTTTTTACATGAGGGGAATAAAAAATAATTTTCCAAGATTGATATTCCATTTGATGTAGATCTAGACCAATAGTTTGCCAAAAATTCAGATTATTCATATACTTGCTCCGTTTCAGAATATTCCATGGGTGAAAGTTGGAAATTTAAAAAAATCCTGAATATCCTGAATTTAGCAGTTTTTCAATAGTTTTACATAGGAAATAGAAGGCTTTCTGGAGACTGAAAATCCTGAACTTCAGGAATAATCCTGAAAACTTTCACCCATGTTTCAATAATGATTCTTATAGTGAAAAACGACCCAAAATTTAAAAGCGTTGCATCGATTTTCACTGAAATCAGACGAAGGATAGTGCAAAAAAGTACAACATTCAACTTGAGCCGCGCCATGACAAAACCAACATAACGGGTTTGCGACCAGCATGGATCCAGACCAGACTGCCCGGATGCATGCTGTTCGCTGTCAGTTTCTCTACTTGTTATAAGGTTTGTAAGCGAACAGCATGGATCCTGATCAGACTGCGCGGATGCGAAACACGAATGGGACATCAGTTACAACAATAAAACTGGTTTGCAATCATTTTTTACATATATGAAAAATAAAACGTACACCATCAAGTCTCAATAAATATTATTTTGGTGTCTCCATTTAAATATCATGAGGCGACACATGTGATCACTGATCGATCTTGTTTTTAAATGTTTGTCTTTTCATATAATCCGAGTACATGTATACGGCTTCAAAGAATAATAAATAGACCGTAATCTTCGACCGATTTTTATAATACAAAACATGACAGATTTTGCTAAATTGAGTTATTTTTTTAAAAATCCATACTATCGGATATTATGAAAATATATTCAGAGGTCGGACAAACAATATGTAACCCGGGACATGACGGAAATATGCGCCGGAGTTACTATGATCAAGTTGAACAGAAGTACAGATGGGCTGGCTAATAATCATGGATTATATACGCCGCACCAACATAGCAAAGGTGAAATGGGAACTCCCAGCTTAACTGGTGAAGGAAGACCTCAGATGCCCCTCCATGCAACATTTCAGGCACAAGCGGGTACCTCAATAGATCCTGCGACGTTCCGTAAGCCAGCTGGAATGCTTCCTCACATGAAAGATCGAAAGTGCTTGGCGGGACTCGAACACACAGCGGTGAGGGGCAAGTGGTTTGAAGTCAACGACTTTAAACACACTCGTTTAGATGGCTCTACAGCACTGCATATGTTCTAAACGTTGAAAAGATTATACTAGTAGTTAAATGTTATTTAAATCATTAAGTGACATTATGCCCATCCAATGGTATAAAGTGAGTGAACAGGTCAAAGTCCAATAATTCTTGTCAATTTTATAATTAATAAATTTTCTCACACGGCGCAAGGAAATTTCTTTCAATATCTATCGGAGTTTACCTGTTTTATTCAATTTATAAATTGAGTCGGGCAGTCTTTTGAGAGTTCTTAGTTTGATATATTTAATACATAAATTATATTACTACATTTCTATTACTAATACAAAGTAATTAGATAAATTTAAACATAGATGGTTTGTTACACTAGTAACTTTTGAAGAAATTTTCTGCGTAAATCTACAAATCTTGGACATAGACATATGAAATGATACTCATCCTCTAAATATATACAGCACTGACAGTATCTCTGTTCACGAGTAATGTTATTTATAGCATAGCTTCCTGTTTGTATTGTTGTAGTTTCAGCAAGGCACCTGGTTAAGGTTTTGTTAAATGATTGAGTTTGTATGAGAATTGAGACCTCATTTGTTGTCATTATTTATTACTATAAATCTGTTGGGGTTAGACTGTGTATCAGGCTGGGAGATTTTAGTATAGTAACTCTGTCAACAGTTACCTGCATAAATTATGGACAAGAGGCCTGCAATTGTTGTGCTTAGGAAACTCAATCATTGGTTACCATCATAAATATTCAAGGAATCAGTCTGTTTGTTTCTGGTACTTGATCAACACTTGTCGTCATAAATATAGAAGGCTTAGATTTGTCAATTAACACTAAGGTAACCTCCAAATATGGAGAGAGAGAGAAGGTATTTCATATAAATACTGGGACAAGATTTTCTAGGGGCATTCAAGATTCAGGATTCTAGATTGAAGATTGAGATTCAAAATGGAAGAGTGAAATGGAAGAGCTAGAGTTTCTCAGTGACTTATCAACCATGTGTGAGGAAGAAAAACTCTGTAACTTTAATTATTAATTGTAGAATAGAAATTTAGAACAATTTTCAACAAATAAACAGTGAAATGAAATTAAGAACAGTTATTGTGTATTTTTATGTGAAATTATGGAAGTAGTAGAAATTATAAATTACGGAAAAGAGAATTTATAACAGTATTCTGAGGGGATGAACATCTCATTTTAATCGACAAAAATACATCCTAAATTTCCGTGGAAAATGTCAAGATATTTTCGTAACAAAAAGAAGATTTAAACTGTTTGGAATTATATAAAATAAAACTCCGATCTAGGATACTGACCCATTCTTGTTTATACTTTTCTATAACTCTAATAACTTTTAAGAAACAATGTAGAATACTTATAAATATCACTATAAAAATATCAGTAAAACTATCACATAACAACTTCTCCACATTTGAGACCCAATTTTTACACCCTCTGTCACAATCAATTACACCTCAATAAATTTTATTTTAAATGATATTGTCCGAGTTTTTCAATCTGCACCAAAATTTAATAATTCTGATGTAACTAGACACATATAATGGATATCTTCATTAATATATTCGCCATAAACAGCATCGGAGCAAGTATCTGTTCTTACATTTAATAATTGTTTCCAAATTAATTAATGAATTCTTTATATTTATGTTCTGAGTACTCCCATATTTCAGATTCATATCTTTAGATAGAGCTAACAAATGCATCAAATAAATGGCATAATACTTTTGGTTTAAAATCACATTTCTTACAATTGTTAAGATAAAACATACATAAGTTGGATCTATCAGACCTATTGCTCTGACCCCCGAGTTAGATTACTGGGCCGTGCAGGTCGTCACTTATGTTGTGATCTTGAACTCCTTCCTACAATTATTCGCACTCTCTGCTCTGGCATTTACAACTGCTTGAAAGCATGTCCAGGAACAACGCGGTGGCTGAACCGTGCTCTGTTGAATTAAAAGTGACATGATAAAACCACCACTTTTTCCAGTCTTTGATGATCTAAGGTTGGTAAGGAAGGTTAATGGTAACAATAAAACAAACAATATGACTTGGAAAAATAATTTGGTTAACACCCCCACCTGTACCCCACTACTCCGGAAAAAAACAATTATACAAAAACCGTTACTTATTGTGTGGGCACCGCAATCAGTTAACGCTATTTCTAAATCAGATTTCTGTTCCTATTTTCAGTGTCGTCCTTGTTAATGTTGCCAATTCTATTTTGCCAACATTTTAGCAAGTAACTATATACAGGTATTTTATCTAATAATGTTATATCTTGTCCTAAACTTGTATATATGGGGGAAGTATAGGTTTGTTATTTATACAAAGCATCATAGGATTGTCGAAAAAAACATAATACTTGTAAACGGAAATCGGTTTTTAGCGTGACTATACGAAATATATGGAGAGCTATTCTACAAAGCATAGCTTCCGCATCCAGTCCAGATTTCTGAATAGTGTTTACTGTTTTTCCTTTATCTTCTTTATTTCCAAAACCTAAAAGATGTGTTTTTTTTACACCACATGCATTATATATACAAAAAGGGTTTATAACAGTCAACTTTTGACTTTATGATTTTACATAAATATTTACACCATAATAATTTACTTCATTTATGTTAAGGTTAGCAAATCTAGTGACAATTTTTCAAGAATTACCTTCCATTTAAACTTATAATTTTGCTTTTAAGTATTCAATTTATACTCTTATCTTTATTGTAACTGAAGGGATTTACCTCAAACTTCATAATATCATCACATAATTTTGTCTTTTACTCTTGTCGCGTTTTTTTTATTGATGGATAAACAGTAGCATGCCCTTGTAATCGCAAGCGTGTACACATTGAAATGTATATATACATATTTTTAATTAATAATTGCTTTTTATCATAAGTCAAAAAGGTGTAAAAATCGGCGTAAAATCAGTAAACAATGATCACAATGCTACCAAAAGCGTAGATGTTTCTTATTCTATCTATTAATTTGATTCGAGATTTTCGAGGGATGTTCGAAATGTATTGCTTATGTCTATCTGGAGACTTTAAATTTCAAGTTAGCTCAAAAGTGTTCATTTCATGCCCTCGAAGTACTCCCCGTGGCTAGAAATGCAAAGTTATAGCCGATGTATCCACTTCTTGAAGGCGTCACGGTACGTTGATTTGGGCACAGTAATAAGGTACTGATGAATGGCAGATCCAAGTGCCTGTCGGGACTTGTATTTCCGCCCAGCATGGAAGGATTTCAATTTCGGAAACAAAAAAAATCACATGGGGCAAGGTCAAAAAAGCCGAAACTATTGCGGAGGTATGAGCGGGCCCATTGTAATGTAGAAAACGGATATGCTTAAAACCAGCGACAGGGCGTCGTTTCTTGTAATACGTTTTCAGTTTACTACGCCTTTGTAGTACTTCCCAGTGATACTTTTGCCCTTTTTCACCGGCACTTTTATTGCGACTCCTTCACCAGAGAAGAAAATTGCATACAAAACCTTTGCACTCAAAGACCGTTCAGCAATTATTGGGCGTTTGTTGTGTTTAGTGGCCCAGATTTTGTTGTTAACTTTTCTGACAGGCACAAAATAATGGACCCAAGTTTCATCACCTGTGACGGCAAACTGTTTTTTTGTCATATTTTGGAAACATTTATAAGCAGCTTTTTGGCCACCTTAACCCGTTGCCTCTTTTGCTCATCGGTCAACAGATGTGGCACCCATCTAGCAGAAATCTTTTAAATGCTTCTTCAAAATAAAGTGAACCGTTGACAGTGATATGCCTACCTTTCGTGCAATATCACGAACTGTAAATCTGGCATCTCCTTCAATGATATCCTTTATTTTGGAAACGATTTCGTTACGAGATGCAGATTTTGGCCTACCTGATTTTGGTGCATTTTTGATGCACTCTACACCAGACTCAAATTTCTTTTTCCATCGCCTAACTGTGTCATAAGACACACAAGAAGGCCCATAAGCAGTAGAGAGTTCAGTCATCAACTGCTTCAAAGAGCAACCCAGTTTTGAGCGAGCTTTGATGTAAGCCCGTATTTCATCTTTTTTGTCGACGCTTCTACCAACCATTTTTACTACAGTGGTCAATGACTGCGTGTATTTAAATGGCAAATTGTATGTCTTTCACTTAGTCTAACATGTACATTTATATACCGTTGTGTAGGTATGGACCTTTCCGGTTTTTCGTAGCGGAACATTAAGCCACACCTTTTCCAGTCATTGCTAGGTCAACTGCTCACAAACAGTATCACACACATAACCATGTGTTCTTTTGTGCAAACCAGGTCAACCAGTGACTATGTATTATCCCAGTGTAGCAATTGGATGACATGCTAACCTATTTACACAAAACTGTAAACACTGGAAAGGTCGAATTGTTACCCTATACAGGTATGTCGTGTCCCACGTGGATCACGAGATAGAGGACAATAAGGAATTCTTTCCGAACATCCCTCGTACTTTGAGTTCGTTACCATCACCTTTTCACACAAAGGGGGCGATTGACCCCAAAGCGGTCACCTGAGAACTAGAAATATCAAGATGCATCCACATAGAAAGAATGAAGTCCCCATGTATAATATGTACTTTCACTTTATGGCCCGTTGATTTTATTTTATGTATCAGGTCCTTGTGACCCTGAAAATGTGTGAGGTAAGTAGAACTGGTCAAGGTGTCTCCACATATGAAATTTAATTGTTATAGGTTAATTAGTATTGGAATGAGTGACAATAACACAAGTCCTATAAAAGTCTATATAAATCAAGTGCCTCCTTAATTGGGGCGAATGTTGACTCATGGGACATTATCAACATCATATGCAGGTTAAAATGAATCATGACCCAATCTCCTTGGGCGTTCAACATTTTAACCCGAGGGACATGATTTAGATACATGTACATTATGTAATGGTCCACAAGGCAATACAGCATGCCAAATATTTAAGCTTTAGGCATTTTGGTTTGAGAAAATATGGCTTGAATATGTATTTTCCTACATAAGTTAAGTTGTCCCCTTGAACAACATATGCAACAGACCGGAAACATTTGAACAACTTCGAAAGGGGACCACCGAAGGACCATTCCTGTAAAGTTTGACCGATGTGCAGTGATTGGTTGCAGAGGAGATGTTGTTTAAAGTAATTGTTGACGACGCATGTTGACGGACAACGGATAAAGGGGGTCACAATAGCTCACTATGAGTAAGTTGTGCTCTTTTGAGCTATAACCAGTAGAGTGAATTAAAAATGAACCACACGAAAAAGTAACATCAAACTTTTATGAGTAGTCCATACCTAAGCATATATGTATGAAATAAATAACATAATGACAAAACAAAAATTATAATTTTATAACAAAGGAATTATAATATAGGTGGTCTGCTACATACAGGAATTATATAGGGCTATGCTATAGTAATAATTTATTTGTAAGCAGATGGGCACCTATGTTAATTAACCAAACGAAAACGTAATTTAGAAAAGACAGGTGAAACAAAGGAAATCAAACGTCAGGGCAAATATGATTAATTAAAAAGTTATCTTTTTCTCACCATCATATATTTTTGCGCTAAAAGCAATACTTGCTGTTTTTTTAAAATGACGTGAAAATTGAAGGTTTTTTTAGCCGCTCTGTAAGATTACATTTGATTGCCCAACTCCAGCTCAGACAGCCCCCCCCCCCCCTCCAGGAACTGAACTTCTTGAAATATGTCTAGTTTTTTAACTTTAACATTTCAATCACAACACGAAACTTTGTGCTGATATTTGATGTTTCGCTAATGTTTATGTTTCTGATCATTTGAGTTTTTTTCATATTGACTTTTAAAGAAAGGGGAGTAACTAAATGTGATCAACGTTATTTCACGTATTGAATTGTTCCCCCTGAAGAAAGATCACATGCGCAATTGCTACGTAGTGAGCCATTTCAAGGTCGTTACATTTTCCGTTAAGATTTATCCATTTAACAAATGAAATGTCGGTGCTTCTGTACATTGTCTAAAATATTGCATGGATTGGCAAAATATCATGAATTTACGATCGGGACAAGTTCTAATACTAGTATTATGGGAAGATATCAAATATGTACGATTCGGCCGAGGCAATAACATGTAGATCGGGCTAAGCTCAACAGAATGGCAAGATATCATGAATGTACTATATGGCCAAGTTCGACTAAATGACAAGATATCATGTACAGTATGTGCAATTCTGACAAAGCTCGTTAACGTTCGCAAGACATAATGAATTTGAAGACTGACCATTCTTCCCACAGACGACAACGCTTAAGTAATGTAAATTTTCCATATTGTACTAACAGCAAGCACATATATAAATGTCCACGACTATTAACATTTTCAAAATATAGATATACAGAGAGCATGTAACAATGATTTTTAAAAGCAAATAAATTAAAAAAAAGTGACGGTAAAAATGAGAGCTAAATGTCTTTTAGCCAGTTGTGGCAGATGTATTAATATTTTTATGAACTACAAATATATATTTTACGGATGTGTAAATCACTTCTATAAAGGGCGTTTAACCTATGAACGAAATAATTCATTTTGTCCTCTCTTAAACAAACGAGCCCACCCAAAACAAAGTCTCTTTTTTGTCAGGTATATTTTGACCGGTATGTTTGGTCCGGTTGTAAATAGCTATAGTCACGGCTAGAACTTGCTCCCCTTGAAAACCCACTTTCTTCAGTATTATAGCTTTTAGTAGGAGGGGGTGTCATTTGTCTTTTTGAAGAGACATCGACTTTAGTTTCCCGTGCAAGTAGTTGTCTATCAACATCACTCTTATCGGCAAGGCCACCTGATGCAAGTATCCCTGACTTTCTGTCATAATGTACTGGGTAGTTCGTGCTTGACGTACTTATCGGATGTTGATCCCTTATTGACAGATCTAAATGTTTCCTACTCGTAATATTGTACTTGTCCCTTGTAAACTCACGCGTGTGTTCAAATCTTGATTCCAGACTGTAACTTGTGTCTCTGTCTAGCGAAAGTCGCTGGCCTTGTTCCCGCTTTACGGACCTCATTGATTCAAAATCTTAAATCAAAATAACAACAAGATTGTCAAGATGGCCCTTGATCGCTCACCTGAGATATACTATAGGAATTCTACATACTCTGGGATCTACGAGTTTCCTACAAACATTTTCCTTTAAGAATCCTTTGTAAATTACTTTTCAATTAAAATATTTTTAATCGCAATAATCATTTGATTATAAAGCTTTTTCAATTAAAAATATTTAATCATTTGGAAATAGTTCCAAATAACTTCTTTGTATTGCGGGGTAATCGGAAGTGAATGAAGTCACTTCGTTAAAGTTAAGGGTGAATCATTATGGTAAAACTGTATTAACGAACGCTACGAAAAGACGAAAAACACACTGAAATACTCGTAATTCGTAAAGACATCACTTTACTGCTTCATCAATAATGACACTGCACTTTAGGATAGTATAAACATGTTCATATAGGACATGTGGGCCTTGGTAGCATTTTTGTTTATAATTATTTATTTAATGACATTAGCATCTATGCATAAAAATAGACACATACTTTTAACTCTGTTCCACTCACCATCTATTTCCTGCTGAATTTGCTGCTCGGCTTCACGGACGAGCGTCCGTGTTTCCTTGGAAAAGAGATCCCGCAGCTGCATCACCGTCATAGCTGTGTTATCACTATTGTTGTTTACCAGGTTTACTTCACGCAGGTGGATGGAATCATTCATGTGCTCGTTTGCAAACAGGAGGACGGCATTCAAAAATGATCTTATGCAGATCTCTAAGGGACATCCAAACACACCTTTGTAAAGAAAAACAAAAAAGAAAACTTTATACAGTGAAAGAATACTACTCATTACAGCACAAGGAGATACGTTAGCTGTATTATTTATATATAAGATATATATTCACCAAATGCAGTAATTTGATTTCAATGAAATGCAAGTAAAAATATTGAAGGTTATTCATAACCTTTGCAGAGGCCATTTATAGGCCTCCTCCCATTTCTTATAAAATTATAAATTTCCCTCTAAAAATTCAGTTAATATCAAAAGTCATTTCTCCCTCTTTTGTAAAAATTCCATTGTATTTTTTCCCAAAAATTCATGAGTCCAACACAAAAGTCTTGCTATTTATATACATTGTACATGTAAATGGTAAAAAGAAAATGACAGACTAACAGATTCATCAACTGAAGATTCATTTAATTTCTGGTGAATATCAATTTATGAACACAAATCTTGTTATTTCTCTCTTACCAGAAGAAGCTGCCTTTGTTGTGTAACAGTAGAAGTAGCCCATTAAATGAAATGTAATGATCGAAATTTTGTTGTAATGAGAAAGAAATTAATAACTTAGAGATATAAGACTTAGTTGTGCACCCACTTGAATTTATTTTAAAGGCCCATTAAAACCTAAAACCCTGTTTATTTCTAAAATGCTTTTACTTTTGGTGTACAGTTAACAGTTTCTTTTGGTTCTCAGCGAAATTGGTCATTAGAAAAGTTATAAAGTATCGAAATAAAATTACCCATATGATAAACGTTTTGCTTTTTATGACAACTTATTACACATTCAAAGATACCTGTACTTTCTTTAGTTGATAAGCATCTTAATGAATTTCTTAATCATTTTAAAACACGCGTTTGCTTTTCTTCAGAGCTAAAATCATATTCCTTTCACAGGCTTAATGTGCATTTAAATTGAAATTGAGCTTACTTTCGTGCTTCATAATCAGAGTGATTGTGATTTTCAGTCTTTTTACCTGAGCTTATAACTGGCATAGTGACAGAGTGCAACTTTAGAACATCATTCCCATATATCATGCAGTTCAAGAAAGTTTGTGTCAGTTCTTTAGGACATCTGTTTTCAGACCATGACGTCCACATAGGTCCTACAGCGTGCATGATGTATTTCACCTTTTCACTAATCGTACCCCCAGCACATGTATGCATGACCTCTGTAGTTGGGACGGTTCCATGTTTTCTCACATATTCTTCACACTGGCGTTCCATTTCAACTCCAGCTGCTTTAGCAATGGCATCGGCAATTCCGCCGTAATGACCTAGACTACCATTAGCAGCGTTTACAATAGCATCTGTTTCAGCCATGGTGATCAATCCACTGTAAACGCTTACTTTTAATGGCCCAAACCGGAAGTCAAGACTTCGAAAGTCGTCTGGTGTGTTATTTATGATAACTATCTCAGATGAATTAACCTCAGTTCCCTCACTCGCACATTCACTGTTCTCAGTTTCTGCTAAATCTAAACCTGATAAATGTTCGATGCTGCTATCGAGCTCTCCTTCAAGTTTTTTCTTCTTCTCAAGTTCATGTTCTATTTTTCCAAATTTCTTATCTTTGACAGCTGTTCCAGCTTTCTTTGGTATTTTTGTATTTGTATTAGTCTCAGAACCAACATTTCTCAGGTCTTCCAACTTATTGTCTTCATCTGAAAATGGTTCGTCCGTGGCCACAGATTTGTTTGAAACTGAAGGCATGCTTATCATTTGATCGTCAACTTCCATTGGCCTACTTTGATCAGCCTGGTTATGTGCTTGTGGCTTTACCTGAACTTGACGTCGTCTCGCTCTAGCTTGTCGTTTTGAAATGTTGTCTATATATGCCCAGAGACATTCTAACATGTACCAGTTACCACGAACCCCAGTTAAACAATCTGCCTGATCATAACAAAATTCAACATTCATGTGATATAGAATTTCATCTTTGATTTTGTCTGTTGCTTGAATGAGGGCAGCGACTGAAGGTTCTAGCTTTGCCTCTAATACTGTAAAAGCCTGTATAAATAACACATACCATTTGATCCCTTGACAGATGTATTTCGTAACTATTCGTGAGTCATTTAAATCTTTTATCTCTATCATTGAACATTTGTGAAATTAAGGAAGAAACTTTTATACAAGTATATATATTGAAGCATTGCACTTTCAGATCAATTGTGAAACTTTAGTAATATTGATTGTATTTTTATTAAACACTTTAAACATTTTCTTTAATTTGATAAAGGAAATAACTACACTCATCTCTTAAGTATGCAGTCTTAATATGTTAATGACAAACCTCGGGGAAAGGCAGTTCTTCCACATGTAATTCTTTCATAACGACATGTTCCTCTATAGCTAACACTGATTCAACAGCTAAATAAATAATTAATACACACTCTTATTTTAGGTTTTTTCAAGTCCGCAGATCTTATCAATTGACATCAGTAATGGTTTACAAAAAGATCATTAAGAATTGTTTTGCAAAAAATAGCTTTTATGAAAACTTAATTTTCATGAAGGTGAAGGCCAGTGCCAAACAAACATACTCTTGCAAAGTTAATCGTGGCTTTTTTTCTAAATAAACATCTGAGAGATATCTCAAGATCAACGTAATCACGATCAAGCCACAATTCAAGAGAACCTAACAAACATAATAAACTTACTCTCAGAGTTCTCAAATATAACGACAGCATCATTGTTGAACAAGGGGTAATATATTCTCTCTATCGGACCACCACCGTTTTCAGGTTTTGAGAAGTGGATCTTTATATGTTTTTCTTCACACTTTACAGGGATACCTTTTACTCTCACACCTGACATACTTGCTTGTCACGTCATCAACCTGCAAAAAATGACTTAACACAATTAGATAGAAAATAGATAAAAAAAGATACAGAGTTGTGACTCCCAAAGTTTTAAAGTTTGTTGTTTGTTCTTTTATCTGATGTGAGGGTCCTATCACAGTTTAATTTTAAGCGTGAACGCTGAAGAGACTATGACAGAGTCAAATGGAAACATAGGAAACAGAACAACAATTCAAACTGTGACAAATCCATCTAGTATCTTATATTACCCTGTTACGTCCTAATTTTAATTATCCTTTTTAAAATACTGATTATTGCTATACTGGATCTCTTTTAAATGTAAAATAATTATAAACATCTTTTGAGTACACACTGAAAAAAATATATGTTACACTTGTTTTTAAACTCTAAACACAGTGTGACTATATCACAGTATATAAACGATTTGAACCCCAACCGGATCTTGTGAGAAAATCTCAGCATCTAAACGTACAATCAGGCGGGATGACACATTAAATTATTAAATATCGGCTTGAATTTAATATGTTAAGGTATGTTAACATTTGAATTATATTGAGAAATACTTTATCTTTGCTTATATATACATCCATAACCTTCTTCGTAAAATATATGCGCATAAAACGCTGTGCTCTTCGCCTCATGTTTTGTTTATGTCAACACACGCCGATTACACAAGCAAATTTATGCCTAAAATTGTTTTATATCACTATAACTCATATCTGAATCTTTAATTTATTGTCTTAACCTCATGTTACCGGACATACACTTGTGAAAATATCTTTGAATCTTGATAAAACTTAGTAAATAATAGAGGCGACATATCTGATAACTGTACCCGTCTTGCTAAAACAATTTTAATGATCTGTACCCTACTTGTGTTTTCACTGAACCATTACTTGCGAGTCACTTTTGATGATTTTTATTGTGTTTTTGTTGTAAGTTCCAAATTTTATTGCGCGGAATATGAAGTTATTATGTCACAAGAGCATGATACATGTTTTAGTTCTATGTAAGTAACTAAAACTGCATATGAATGGAGCTTCGTCATGTTTTCACTGTCTACGAAAATATCAGCATGAAGTTGCTGGTAATACGAATCAGAAAGTCAATTATTTCTTGATAGGAATAATTAACTAACAAACCTCATCTTCACTTACCATTCATTTTTCTTTGGAAATATATAAAGCTAAAATATTACATATGTACTATAACTTTCTTAAGTTTAGTGTTAGTTTTGACGTGACCATTATATAACGTCACGTTTCAATAAACCTCGAAATATCATAAGATTTTTTGCAGATAACGGATTTCAACATGCTGAAAGTTTTACACCTACCCTTGATGTCATTCTGCTTTTTAAAACACGGTTTTATATTCTCAGAAATTCATTGAGTTTCTATTTCTGACTGTACGACTTTTATTCTTGTATATCTTTCATAGGCGTCGACAATTTTGGCATCGTTTTAAACGGAGAATATTCGGGATTTTTTGAAATTTTAATTGTCAGTGTTTCAGCTATTGGTGTTATAAACATCTTTTTTTCTTTTACGTTATTGGCTATGACGCTGAAATTATTTAAGTAGGGAATTTTATTTTGATCAGTATTTATTCTTATTTTCAAGTTGCAGTCTGGATGGCGAATTATTATGTGGTCAATGGTGGCATTAAAATTCGTAGTCATTACTGAACAGTATATGCAGTTGTATTCTTCCATGATGATATGAAAGAAAGATATACATAACATTATATTTTTTAATAAACAAATGATTAACAATCAGTTAAACCAATTCTCGGTAAATACCTTAGATCCCACCTTATATACTAAAATTCTATTACAATCATTTATATTTTCTCGCAATAATTGATACAAAATCGCAATAAACGTAAATGTTTTCTCCAATAAATCTTTAAAAATGCTCACAAGTCAGGGTACAGATAAAATTCGTAAACTCACAAGTAGGGTTCACAATCACCAGCAAGTAACGTTCAGTGTACGGAAATGACCTCCTTGGTAAAACTCTTAAATTCATGTTCAAGATACAGCAATATGTTATGCATATGACTAAATTATCGTTTGTTATTGATTACTTTAGTAGTTCGATAACACAATTCAATTTTTAACTAAATCAACCTTGGAATAAGACGGGTTTTTGTTCGTGTTCAGTGTTGATCACATGAAAGCAGTTCGTGAGTTTCGATTATTTTATAGCCCTCGTGCTAACATTTATGTTTTGCATAACTTAGACGTTTAATAAAGTTTCTCTCTTACAATATAAATATAGATTTACTAACCTAACGTCCATCAGTATCAATATAAATACCAATATCGTAAACAAGTGAGGTGGCAGAATATGGCTGACAATAAAATCTTCTCACAAGATCCGGTTGGGGTTCAAATCGTTTATATACTGTGTATATAGGCTAATATGTCATTAAAAACAACAAAATCTGGCAGTTCTTTCTTTTTAAAAAAACATATGAACTTGACCAGTAATTTAGTTATAGGGAATATCAATTAATTTCTTCAAAATAGGTCATTTATCTGTAGATGAGCATAGTATATCTTTAACGATTACAAAGTCAACACAAATTTATTTAATTTAACGATTAAAAGAATGTGTCGAGACACGTCGTCTACTTTACCGTAACAGGTAGGCACCTTTCTTTTTCATGCTTTGATATTATAATTTATAGTAATTGTTTGTAAGAATACTTACTGCTCTCATAAAGTCACAATCCTATATTATAACTTGACAAACACCTTTTTAAAAATTCAATAGTCTAAAATCGAAACCGAAAGTGAAATGTTGACGGTGTCAACGGTTTTTTAACACTTCGTTAAAATACGTAAAAAAAGTTGTGTGCAACTTAGTACTAAGATTTTGTGCTCTATTGTGTGCACATTATACATGTAATACACCCCTGCACACAAAAGAGCACAAAATCTCCATACGTGTGTACTGTATATTATCATAACATAAATTTATGTTATGTTATGTATAGTATCAAAAATTGAACTGAAACACAGTCGCTGGAAAGGTGATAAAATTACATCGATTATGAATAGACCGTTATTGAATGGTCATTGTGTTATACTTTACAAAAGAATATGGAACGCCATAGCTGCCTCATGTTGTAACATTTCGCTTTATTTTCCCGAAAAGCGTCTTATTATGTTTAATAGTGGTGTTGGCTTGCCATCGTTTTATGAGAACCTGTCATAACGAAGTCTTATTAGGTGACATGAGTTTGACAAGTTGGCACCAAGTTCCGACAAGATAACACAACTGTTTCACATAATAAGACAATTTCTAGACAATTTACCACCACAGTTGGACAAGACAGCATTCTATTTTGACCTAAAAGACATTATTTAGGCAAGATAACGCCGAATTTGAACACAATGTCATGGCAGTCTGACAAAATGTGACGGTGTTTAGACAAGTCAATACCACATATTGACAAGACAAAACGACGGTATAACATAACACAACATTGTCATTACAAACCAGGATCATATTTGGACAAGATGACACCAAGCTCCGACAAGATAACACTTCTGTTTCACATAATAAGACAATTTCAAGACATTTCAACACCACATTTAGCAAGGCAGTGTTTACACATGTTGAAATAATGGTGGTATCTATACAAACCATGGTTATTAACTGTTAAAACGCTATTTTAGTATGCCGGACTGTCACACGCTATTATGTCCAAATGCAGATTTAACTTGTTAAGATTCGTCTTATTATGTCAAATAGTCATATTATCTTGTCGGAAGGTGGTGATAACTTTTCTAAAATTTCTATCTTTTTGATAAAGTGTCATTTTATTTTGTCAAGTTTCAGTGTTAATTTGACTAAACATCGTCCTTTTATGGCGAAGTGTTTTTTTTTTCTTTTCAAATGTGGTGTTTACTTGTTAAAACACAGTATTATTATGTAAAACAGTGGCGTTGACTTGCTAATTTATCACGTTACATTGTCTTACATTGTCTAACTCCAGTCTTATTATGTCAGATAATCGTGTTATCCTGTCCAGGTGCGATGTTGTCCAAATTTAGTATCACGTGACCAGAGCCCACGCGGAGCGTGAAAAGATAAAGCACAAAAGATAACGGGCGGTTTATCAAAATCAGACAGTGCGTTCTCAAGACAGAACTATATTTGAACAAAATAACACAATTATTAGAAATAATAAGACTGTTTTTGTTTTCTACAAGAAAACATCAAATTTTGACAATATAGCACTTCTGTTTTACATTACAAGAAAGAGTTATGACAAGTCATTACCACATTTCAACAAGATACCGCAATTTTTTGATATATTAGGACTGCTTTTTAACAAAATAGCATACCGTTTATCATAATAAGGCATGATTTAGTTCAGTCAACACCCCATTTCGGCAAGGTAATGCGAATACTTGATATAATAAGACAATTCAGTAGTGAACGTTGGCTAATTAACACTTCTGTTTGACACAATAAGACAATGTTAAGGCATTTAAACACCGTATTTTGACAAAATAACATAGCAGTTTGATGAAATAAAGCTGTGCTTTGACAAGTCAGCACCAAATTTCGACAAGAGAACACTACTGTTTCAAATGATCAGACAGTCTTTTGACAAAACAGCTCCACAATTTGACCAAATAGCGCGACTTGTTGACATAATATGACACATTTCAGAGAAGCCAAAACGACATTTTGACATGATAACACTACTGTTTGAAATAAGTTAACAATGTTAAGACAAGTCAACATCACATTTTGAAGAGATAAGACTACTGCTACGCATATTAAGGCAATTAATGTTTAGACAATTTGACAAAATACTATGGCAACACAACACTAATATCAATATCTAACATGAAAAGACGCTTTCTAGGCAAGATAAAAAGAAATGTAAAAACATAAGGCAGCTATGGCGTTCCATAAAAGAAAATATAGCCTGCGGTCAATATGCCATAAACTCGGTTAAATATATCTAAAAAAAAAAACATTTTAGACTATTGAATTTTTAAAAAGGTGTTTGTTAATATAGCAATCATCTGTTAGGTGTTGACATTATTTTTTTTTGCAACAATCAAATAATCATTTGACTGATCTCTTTCTTTATACAAACACATTTTATTAGCAATGAAATGTATCGATGTTTGATTTGGTTGCCAAGGTTGATCATGGAAATAAATATAGCGGTCTAGAATAATGACGACTTCACAGGCGGCATTAAAGCTACTATCCCATTATAGTTTGTGCGTTTTTTAAGTAAAATGCCATCAAAGATAAAATTTCACCACAAGTTTATACATTTATATGGAACTAGATGATTAATAATGTCTTGTCCGCCGGAAAAAAAAATCTTCGAAAAGTATTTGCATTGTGTTATTCTTCCGTTGCAAGGTTTCATTTTGTAAATATTGACTTAAATATTATAAACACAGTTGTAAATTTGTTTTAAGTAGATCAGTAAGTTGGTTGTGGGTAGAACAATTGTATGCTTGGTAAGTTTTTTCTGTTAATCATGCCATCGATTCCTGCATAATAATAATAATGTATAATGGAAAATTATGTCTATAAAAAGAGACGGAAAGGAAGAATATATCTTGGCAATCCGGTTTAAAACTGAAATTTCTATAGCAAGTTCTACCTGCATCAATCTGTCGTATTTGCTACTTGTTAACGGGTGTGATAATAGGGTGTTTATATCTGTGTCAAGCGAAACGTATCAACTGTTAGGTTAGTTATTTCATGGAAACTGCAAAATTTTCTTGCATATTTAATAATTGTAAACAAAGGCACGTTTTGTTGAAATGCTATCAAGTCTGTTGCTGGTGCGGGGAGGACATGATTCCAGATTCTTGTTCGTGAGCTCCACTTGGTTGAAGGCATCCCTAAAAGGTTTAAGAACTACATTATTAACATCTGAGGTGAACGTTGTGCATAAAACAATTAAAGCTCGACCCACCAGTACAAGCTGCGAAGTTCACATTCAGTATTCCACCGTGCATATTCTAAATCATACGGCTGCTACGACATTATACTTAAAACAGCATTACAATTTGTGTAAGTAATTATGTTTACTTTTTTAGATCATTCGTGAGAAAAACAACCTGATTACTGTTTTGAATGTGAGTTTTGTGTTTCGTCAAATAAATATGTACATTCAAAGCATTTATAACTTTTTTTTTCATATTCTGTATACCTAAGACATTTGTCAAACTACAAGTGTCGTATAACAATAGAAGGAAACTGGTAAAATAGGATTTAGCGACTTTAAATGAGATAACCGCCGTTACTTCAGTATTCGGCGTTACCTCGTAAAAATGGTCTCAATCACGTTTTATTTGCTAAATTACGTATTATATGATACGTGTAGATTGGAAAATGTCTCAGGTACACCGAATATAAAAGATCATAAAGTAATATGTATGTTATTGTTTTTAAATATATCAACGTGACTAAAAATCGCCATCAATACGCTAGTCAGGTCGTCATTTTCACGAATGATCTTGAAAAATAAACATTATCATGATGAGGTTTAAAGCATAATGTCTCAGCAGTCGTATGTGCTAACTCGTTTCTTCCAATTTGGTGTACAATAAATAATATTGGTCCATTTACCTATTGCGGTGCTCGTTTTAGCCACTAAATTGCGCAATTCTGCGTTACTTTTGCACACTTTCAGCGTTATTTGCACATTCCTGCGTTACTGGATATACACGGTGTATTTGGTTTAAGAATATTGAATTGTTTAAAAGTCTAGATCCCCAGCAGGAGTTTGACAAAATAGAAGATAGATAAATGGATCAACAGAGGTGGTAGAGTTAAAACCTTCCAAAAAATAAGCGTATTGCTTTCACAACAATTCCGGTGCAATGTTGGCCCTGAAACAACATGATGTATGTTTTAAACACTGACTCTCATCTTATAACGTATATACAAAATCAAAAAAAAATCTAAACCCGGCATTGAAATATTAATCTTTCATAATGTCGAAGATACTTCAGTCTTACAGGAATATAATATTATGCTTAACATAGTATTGACTAAACCTCTTTTAATAAGTGAAAAAAAATACATTAAACTTTTCAAAAACAAAAGATTTTAAGCCAACTAGTGACAGAAATGGTTTGATAAAGTAATCATATATTATATACAAATATTTAAAACCCTTTCATAGTTAGTGAATTGTTTCATGTCTTTCAAACCGTTCAGACTTTTTATATCAAATTTCCCTTTGTTAGACCAGTATAAGACTTTATACACACGAATAAATAAGTTGCTAGAATATGGAATATAGCGAAAGGAATATGGTATAATTGTGCAAATTAAAGTGCATTCTAAAACGTGGCTCTATTTAATGGCAGCTTGTAAGGTTTGCGACGAGTAGACATAAATCATCTTGTTTTAACACTAACATAATAACTAACTTTAATACTAACATAACAGTTTATCATAGTGGTGAGACACATCATACATGACTTTATGTATGTGATATTGGATATATAGATAAAGATAAAACGCTTGAAACATTAAATATATCCAAAATGTCGAACAGGAAACGCAGCAACATGCAACCTGCACGACAGCAGTTACCTCCCATTATACCAGAGGACGATGGACAGTTACCGTTCTTTAAACAGGATTTTTTCTCCGATGTTGCTCTCCTTGTAAGTACCGATGAACCACCTGATCATCAAGGCTCCCGAAAGACTAAAACTGTGGTAAATCGAAATACTGGATAGTTCTTTATCATTACATATCTTCCTTTTTTATTTCTTATCTATATTTTTTTGACAAATTTAAACTTATACCAAATATCCTTCAATTTCAAATCCATGACATTGACATGTATGCCATGAAAAATGAATAAAGCGTCATATTTTGTTAAGAAGAAGAGCTATATATTACAACTGATTCATTTCAGCTTTCCGGTGGCAGGAAACTTTACACATCCCGTTGTATTTTAGCATACAACTCACCCGTCTTTGAGAAAATGCTTGGCAACGCAAAGAAGCACGACCTTGACCTATCACAAAAGAACGCAGACGATATAGTGGAGTTAATGTGCTACCTTGACCCAAGGGTACCCTACACCATAAATGGTATATGTGCTTATAAATGAAATATTGAAATATTAATATACTTATTACTGAAATATTAAGAAACACTGATGAAATAAAATGCGTATTTCAATTTTCCGTATTTTCACTGTGAAAAATTATTTTTACTGCATTGAAATATATTTTCCGTATTTTCACTGATGGCTTGCCAAACTTTTTATAAATAAAAATATTAAAGGAGAAGAGGAATACTTTTTTTAATTCAGGTGTTAGTTCTTGTGATATGAAAGTAATCATATTTCACTCGTGGCTATTGCCAATCATGAAATACTTATTTTCATACTACTCGATGAAAATAAATCATGTATTTATAGAAAAAAACTCGAATATCCTCTATATATTGATATTCATAAAACATATTTCAATCTTTAGTAATCCAAATTAATGAAACGTTTTATACTATTCTGTCCGCTATTTTTTGTCTCGTGTCGTGTCGTAAGGTGATTTAAAATTAAAATTGTTCCTTTTTTTAATATTGTGAACTGTAAAAGGTCTAATCGGTGTAACGAAATATATATCTTCACCAGTCATGAAAGAAAATATATTTGATCTTCATTAATATGGAATAAATATAGTCCTAGACTCCTCTATTATCTCATTTTAAAGCAAACCATATTCACATTTTCTCGGTACTACTTACTCTTGAAAATACGTTTGTATCCAAAATTTACTTACTTTTGTACTTTTATAAGTTATTCCCCTCTCGTATGTCTGTAAGTTTCAATCGATGTGAAAAAAGAAAGAAAATACTTGCTTATTACTTGTACTTGGACTATTACCTACCTGCCTGCCAGCCTGCCTGCCAGCCTGCCTGTCTGCCTGCCTACCTACCTACCTACCTACCTACCTACCCTATTAGACTGTGATATAATATTACCTTCCAAACTTCAGGACATTTAAAAAAATGTGTTGGAATTCAACTTTGATGGCTTTCAATAAATACAAATAAGGTCTAAGTTAATACACCAGCCCGTTTTATATGAATATATATATAGAAGTTAAGGTATAGGAGAGCATAATGTACTGCATTGTTCTTCCGCTTGAAATTTGACACGATGACTCAATACCTAGTCAGCTACATGGAAAAACAAGAAAATGTCATTATATTTCAAAACTTTTTATTGAATAAATCCTCAGATAAAAAATTATTCTTTCCATATGTTTGTATGAATACTAAAAATCTTTAAGAGGTGTTATATCCCTAAAACGGATTCGAGGGTGTTTCAATAAGCCTAAAGCTTCCAACACAATGGAACCTTAAATAATTTTGTATATACTAATTTATTTTCACTTATTTTACACTTTTCAATTCACCGTTCCACAAGGAAAGATATAAATCTTTAATCTATAATCTATCTTTTTTATAATTACTATTGAAGCCCAATCAGCGAAACAGTTACTGCCATTGTCTGAGGAATACGAGATGCACAGATTAAGAAAACAGTGTGAACAGATTCTTTATTCTACTTATATAAATGTTCGTAAAGAATACCCGAATGGAGGAATACCGTCCGAGATAAATGAGGAATATTTGCTTCTTGCTGATCGCTATGGAATAAATGATTTGATCCAAATGTGTGTAGACGAATATGTGTCAAACTCCGGAGTCGCAATGGCAAAGGTTGCCGTCAATTCGGATAATCTGTCTGAAAGAGTTAAACTTCTGATTCTTAGGAAGAAGTTATCAAAACTGAATACAACTTTAGAAAAAGAGAGAAGACATAAAGCCGAAGCAGAAATGAAAGCAAACAGATTACAACCGAAGTCAAATTGGCATAAATATTGGCATGTAGATGAAGGTCCGGCGTCCAAACACAGACCAGGGCCATTTTATTGAACTCATATTAATATATACAATATGATTAATTGTATACATGTAAATATATTACATGTTATATGTAAAAGATGGTACATCTTTTGTTTATATATAGTAATTTTTTAATATCTTTGATACACATTTTGTTTATAGGAATGAAATAATGTTGTTCTGGGACATTTTGACCGATATAAACAGTATATTTAAAAACATTTGAGAAACCTTTTGGGTGAACGTTCATCCTGTGTATTTTTCATTACATATTATTTTTTATATTTACTGTCAAATGGAATTGTTTGAAATAAACTGGTGACGATTTTGTGAACTTGACTTTGGTTAAATCATAACAACAGACTTTAAACCTATTAAAAAGTACAAATGACGGATGTCGCGCGATTTCTAATCCCAGAACCTTCCATCAAACTATAAAAGGTAAATATGATATATTTCTTCAAATTCTTCACCAGTTTATTTCAAAATTCCATATATATATTCCATATATATTTGTCGATATATGTTTGTACAAAGCGTTAATAATAAGAAATTAAAACAGTATGCTAAACCATTTATGACTTTTTCTTGTTACTTAATTGGACAATCTAACATATTCCTAAATGCCGACCCTTCAATATATTTTATTTTACATCAAACACCCACGACATCACAAGTTAAGAACTTTTAATTCACTTTTCATATCAATAATCATTATGTTTATGGTTCTTTTTTTCAGCACAGGCTGCCAAACAGCTACTTCCTCTCGCGGAGGAATACAAGATGTTAAGATTGCAGCGTCTCTGTGAAAACGCTCTATATGCAGCATACGAAAAGCTCAGAAAAGAATATCGGCTCGGACATATGCCTTGTATGTATAACTACGAATAAGTCAGAATGTCAAAACTATTTTTGTGCGAGCTATGTGCAGTATCGTTTTAAGTCAAACTAGCTTCTGGTCTTTTACAATTTTTAAAGCCCTCCAGTATAATTTCTCAACTAGAGAATATAAATATTCTTTATGTCGGTGCAAGGAGTGTGGTAGATGTGCTATTGTTACAAAAAAAAATTGTAAATATATATACTAGTAAGTTGCTCCAATGTTATTTCCCAACTCAACGTCAGAAGATCTCAGGGAATCGATTAATCAGATTCTCGGATAGAATATACAATGAGCAATGAAAATTCCGAGATTCGAGACAGGGCTAAGATTATTTTGTTGTAACATCGAGTGTATGGTTGGGATCTTTTCTAATCTCGTGCCTTTCAATGTTGTATTATGCCAAAAACATTATTTTAAAAAGCAGAACAATTTTATTTCAGCGGAAATTAATGAAGAATATTTGATCATGGCGGATAGATATAATTTCCATGAATTGTTGATAATGTGTGTGGATGAACACGTCAACTGTTGTGCTTCAGACATGACCAAGTCACTAGTACACTCGGATGCATTGTCTGAAGGTGTGAAAATGATGATACTTCAAAAAACATTGGCCAAACTAAACGTGGCCCTTGAGAAAGAAAGAAAATACAAATCAGATGTTGAGTATAAACTGGGAAACATATCACAAAGAAAAAATTGGACTAATAAATTTGAGTTGTACTGACATTGTTATGTCAATGAACTAATTTGTTAAGGCCACTACGTAAGAATAGTACTGTAGATGTTTTGAGGATTTTGTTGATTTATCATTACATACATGATTACTTTATCTTCCAAGTTCTTTTCCCAAAGAGTTTGTTCTTCTATCAGTATGCATGCAGTTTCTGTTATAACATGTTTGTTCAGTAACTGCTAGTAGTATGTAGTCATTAACTGTATACATGCCTTTGTTGTAAGCTGATCATAACGTCTGTAAATATTATACGAAATAAGGTTTTATTATCCCAGGGTTTTATTTGTTTAGATACTCCTAAATTATATATGTGATTGTATTCTGAGTATATATGGTTTTGAATAACTGGTATGTTGTGTTGTGTATTATTCGTTAAACATTAGCATGTCTACATGTATTAACCATTGATTTCTTTCATAAACACACTCTTTCTTCCTTGAAGAATTTCTGTATTGAATACAAACTCAACAATAGCGGTTATGAATTAGCTGATCACCGAAGATTTAAGTGAAAATGGTTCATCTGTTAATGTTCATATGATTTTGAATTTAAACGTTATTTAACTGGACAAAGGTTTAAATAAATCTGAGTCGCAACTGCGTTGTCTTTTTTTTCTTATATGCATTTCATTAAAAATTGAAATATTGTTTGGAAGGAAGTGGTTTATTGTTGTAAACCATTATTCAAATTTCTTATTTTGTAAAACAATAAACTCTAGTCATGCCTGCATGCCTGTAAACATTTATATATGTCAGGTATATGATGTCTATAGCCACATTAAATTGTTTTCCTCTAAAATGCCAACACATTTATATGTGTGTTTTATGATTTATTGTTGTTTAAACTTGAACAAAGGTTTATAATTAAACTGTCATATAAATTATGCATTATAAATTAATTTTAAACAAAGATGAAGATGTTTATCTTTCGGTCATAAGCATTTATATTGCAGAAAGTCGACATAATGTATGATGAGTTACATAAAAATACCAACGTGATTGAATATGTTTGCTATTATTATATATTATCATATATATGATATGTTCAGATTATATACGTCTGCTATGTAAGTGTCTAATGAACACGTTTGATAGCGATTCATTGACAATGGTATCAGAGAAACGCAGCAGCCTCTTAATCTATTGGGGGCATTTTGTTTTATATCAGAAATTTCTAAAAAAATAAAAATGATGATATAAACATCTGGGATTAAACAGGATGCCTTCTAATGCCTTTTTGATGTATTTTAATTGATTCCATGAACTTGTGTATAACATTGTAATCTTTTTTTCTTTAAAGTAGACAAACTTTAAAATAAGCAAAGTAAAATAAATAGGACCTCTACAGCAGAATCCCCTCCTTACTGAAATACATGTTTTAAAAACTAAGATGATTACGTACATAATATACTCGCCAAAATAACTTCTTCACAGCGATGTCAAAATAACTAATTTAAAAACAGGCATTACACATTATACTATATCGAAAGATCAACAGCAGCTTATGTCATAATGACTATCACGTCGGTTGTCACATCGAGTGTCACAAAATATGGAAAATTGTAATAGATATTTTATGGCAGTATTGTTTTACAACAAGAATAAGATAAATTTAGCACTGTACGTATTTACAACATTAGTTGGACAACATATTATATTGTCATGTTAGATTGTATAAGGTAATTACGTAGAATTGGAAATTTTAGTAATTTTTAGAAAGACAAAGAAAGAAAATTTGCAGAAAATTGTCCTAAACATTGCATGATTTAAGAAATAAAGAATTAATTGTTCATGGTTAACATATTTGATAAGATACATGTGCATGCATGTGAGTTTGAAAGTCCACTTTTCATTTTCTACATGGAGCAGAGATGTATGAGGGACAAGGGAAAATATCACGATTGTAGACTGCAAATCCATGTTGGGCATTATTTTCTTATGGAAATAAAGTACAGTCATTTCAACTGAGGAAACACATCCATATCGTGTTTTCCTAATATCATAGTCAAACACGAGAATGACACACGCATTTAATGTTCTCTATTTATTCTGCTAAAATAAAAAAGTATAATATTCTCGTAATGTGCCATTAAACTTTGATCTTCATAACTTAATCGGTCTTTGAAACATGGTTTTAAAAATTATTCTTGACAAGTTTAGTGTTCTGAATAAGCTTTAAGAGGATATTAAATGATTAATTTGTCATTAGAAACAGAGTGTTTTGAACGGTAACATGGACTTAATTAATAAAAGAGTCGTGCATAGACACCTCAATTTATCCCTGTTATGACGTTAAAAGTCACGGATACATACATAATGATAAAATTCACTTTTTTTTGCTTTGACTGCAGTAATTACATAATGATATGAACGTTTCTCATGAGTGTATTTTTGGACATATTTCCGGTGTTTTCATAGCAAATCTTACACGATCCTGTCATGGTGTAACAGTGAGTTTTTTATTTCGGTTTACGCATACTAATTAATTATGCAAAACATTGACAAGATTGCCGGCATCTTTATGGGCTGAAATTGCACAAAAAGCGGATAAAATGTAGAAAACAGACGTTGTATAAATTAAACTAAACCGTAAGTTTGACAGACAGTTAGGTCATATGTAAAATGCTTTTGTACTCACATAAAGTGACACAGTTTGTGCCTACAGCCCTTTCCGTATTTGTCACAAATATCTTCACGATTTTCTACAACAAAGGCTTTTTTGAAAATGTTCAAGGTCAAACATATGACTAACTTTTTCCTCGTTAAAAGAAAAAAAAGAAGAAAAGAAATATCCATCTTTTTGATGAATTAACGTGTAATGAAGTAAGCTTTGAGTGGCGGAATGGTCGAGTGGTTAACTCGCCAGACTAATAGTGTAATGATTCCTGGCCCCATTCAGGACCAGTCGTTGATTTTTAGCACTTATTATCCTAAATCAAGGACGAGCTTTTACATCCTACATATATTTGCTTTATATACTTTAATATGTAACACATTGATGAAATTATTACAAACTTTAATATAACGGGTAAAACATATATATCTAAATGTTTAAACACTAAATTCCTATTACGTTTCAATTACTTTAATGAATTACAACCCCCATATTATAGAACAAATACAAGTAGTTTTAGCAATACTATAGAAGGTTGTTTGTTTTAAAGTTTAGTTTTTTCAATTCTTTGTCATTTTACAAGACAAAGTTATCGATGAAACTGATATGAAAACCTTGTTAAAAACCGTCTTATATCGATGCCGATATATCTTATTTTTATATTAATATGTTCTTATTCAAATTCTTTTATTTCAATACCTCTCTTTATTTAAACAATAACTTAATTGAAAATATCAGACCGAAAAAGAATACACTCTCAATTGCCTATTGTTCAATTGTCGTATTCAACAATCGATTTTTGATATATGATATTTTAAAACCCATATATACTATTGTTTTATTCTTAACCTCATTAGTTTGAGAAAAACCGAAGGAACAAGTTTGTAATGTTAGCATAATTTGTGTAGACAGTTTATAATATATAATGGATATGTCAACAAAAACAACGCCTCGTGATGGCGCTCAATCAACAGCCAGGAGTCGAACCAAGTCTCTTATTCCACCACACTCTGAGCCGAAAACCAAAGCCAGTCGTGCTGGTAGCATGGAGCGTAATGTGACAGCTTCTAGTACTGAGATAATGTCCAGCAGAGTAGACCTAACCGCACGGTCCGAACCAGAAACAGAAGTTCCCGTCAAACAGGACATGACAGATTTGCCATTTTTCAAACAAGACCAGTTTACCGATGTTATTCTACAGGTGGGTGACATGTTTAAGATTGTTATATAATGGAAATAACACTTAGATATATGATATATGATGTAGAGCAACAATGGTATATCTTTATTTACTTTTTAAAACATTTCATCTTTCAATTTCATTGTAAATGTAAATATGTATTTTAAACATCTTCACGCTAGTAACGTTAGATTCAGTCACTTGAGGATCCAGCTAGCTTACTAAAAATTGGTGGTTTTACTTGAGTGCAATAAAATACAGAGGGGCGCCTGAGGTCGCCCCCCATCAGTGCATCTAGATAGTCACAATATAATTTTAACAGTGTCTGAGTAACTTAACAAGAACAAAAATAAATCGATCCAGTCCATTCGTTTTAAGTCAATGTTACCCTCAATATTAGAGATATGTTTTATATAAACATACATTGGCAAACTTCAACCATTTTTGCACATCACAACATTTAAGAAATACCAAATTGCATCAAACTTTATATAATATATCAAACTTTGCACAAATGTATATCTATATATTCTATTTGATATAAATGCCATTGGGCTATAAAAATGATTATATTCAAACGACGCGAGCGGCCTTGCAAAATGTATAGTGACCGATCGAGTGTTAATTCTTTTTTCTTTTATTTTCATTTATTGATGTTGTATTTTGTGTTTATTGCTTTTAACTTGATAACGCATTCTGTTCACGTTATATGATATGAGAACTAAGAGATCACATCACTTCGGACCTTCAAGCATTACAGGGACATCATTTAAATAAACTTTTTGCGCCGACTAGTCGATCCAAATGATGCCAGGAGAATCTTAATAGTGTGTACAATAACTTAAAAGTGATACATGTCATAGAGCGGTATAAGACAAAATTGTTTAAAGACAATATTGCTAATTTTAAAATGCATTTGATTGTTGTTGTTTTAAATGTCGTACTTACAGTCTCTAAATGTACTCTTCGTTGTTGACAAATTCGTCAGTAACATAGACCCTCGAGTTGATTATATTATAACTGGTCGTTTGTGACGTCGTGAGCTGCGCCGCGTTTTGTCATGTCTATGTATATAAACTGGTGCAGAATCGTAAGTAATGAGTTTTGGACGCGTTTTACCTTGCACCAACATGGAAGAGGTCATATGGCGAGTTTATGCTTTACTTTGTGGCGAAGGAATGAGATGCCCCTACCTGTATTTTTAACTAAAAACCCTTATGGCCGAGTTTAATTGCAAAAAAGGGGGAATTTTTTTTGTATTTTTAATTTGGAAATTTTTTTGGTAATTTTTTCAAAAATTTTTTTAAAAATTTATTTAATATTTTTTTCGGGAAATTTAAAATTTAAATTTTTAAGGCATTTAAAAACCTGGATTTTTATTTTGAAGGCCAAAAATATTTATTCTTTTTATTTCCCGGGTTTAAAAACTCTTTTTTTTAAAAGTTTGTGAAATTAAAAAAGGGATAATTTTCTCACATTCAAAAATTGTTTTCCTAAATTTTAAGGTTGGGGAGGAAAATTTTAAAAACATGTTTTGTGCATTGGTTTTTTGGCCCCCCAATTTCCCCCAGTGATGGAAAAATTTTTTAAAAAGGGTTAAATTTTTTTTTTCCCGGTTTTTTTTTGAAAAAAAACAAAGAGAAAAATTTCCCGGGGAAAGAAAACCCACGGAATTGGTTGTTGAGCTTCCCCACTTTCAAGGACCCTCGTTTTGAAAATTTAATTTTAAATGGTTTATTAAAAATAAAATTTTACACTTTTTTAATATACTAATTGTTTTTAAATAAAACCCAACAACATTGGAATGGTTAATCTGATTTCATTAACTGAATATTCAATCAAAATATTCTAGGGTAAAAACATATATATTAATATGGAAGTGTTGATGACAACCCATATAATACGCTTTTTTGTTCAAGAGTAGTGTTATTTCAAACACAATGATTTATTCACGTAGGTTTTATCTTTATTTCATATATAATCTCTTAAAACATCTATCTATCTGATTTTATTTTCTTCTTTCGAGGAGAAATTGGCTCAAATTCAAACGACAGACATTTATTTCGTTTGTAACAATGCATTATTGTTTGAACTGTAAATTGTTGCTTGACAAACCTTACCACACACAGATGTTTTCTACTTGTCACTAATCTAACGTTTTTAATTCATTACTTCCAAACAAATTAACAAACTGCTTTTTTCTTGGGTCTTTTTTAGTTTTATAAATAATTAAAATTTTTTTAATTTTTAATGTTTTATTTTTGGGGAGAAAGGCAAATAAAAGTTGTATTTTGACTATTTTAATTTTTTTTATAATAGTTTTTTGGGGAAGATTTTTGAAGAGGAAAATTTAAATTTTCCCAAAAAATTTTTTGAATTTTTTCAAATTCAAAAAAGGGAAAAATAAAATAAAGTGTTTTCTTTTTCATTTGAATTAAAATTTGAACAATTTCTTAACTTTTTGAATTACATTTGAAAAAAACAAACATTTGTTAAAGACTATGAAAAGTAATACTGACATTTACATGTTACTGAGCATCTACATCATTTTGATATATTTTGTAAATATCTTGTATATATTTCAGAACAGTCTGCAATCGCACTACTTCCCCTCGCGGAGGAATATGAAATTGCAAGTCTGAAGAAACTCTGCGAACAGACGATAATGCAATCATTCCGCAATATGAGAAAGGGGAAAAAACGCGGTGAATGTATTCCTGTAGACATCAGTTTGGAATATCTTCATATGGCCGATAAGTACGAATTTCCCGGGCTACGTAATCTCGTTACTGACGAATTTGTCAACAACGAAGACCCGAAAGCCATGGCGACGTTGCTCGAGTCCTCATTGATATCAGAGCATGTTAAGTTGAATGTTTTAGACAAAAAAGTTGAAAAAGTTCATTTCGAACTGGATAAAGAACGCAGAGAGCGCACCGCTATTGAAACTAAACTTGGAGACTACGGCCAGAGACGTGTTGGGCGACGACCGCTTTATGACTAATGACTAAACCGAACACATAAACCTGTTGACGCCATTGTTTAAACAATGTTTAAAAAATACAAGTACATGTAAATTGAATTGAGATGCCAAGTCGTATGTACATTATACAGTATACAGGCATTTAGATTAAAAAAAAGTGTAACAAAATAATTGTTTAAAACCATATTTACTAGGATAACTAAAATATATGTCGAACTCTTTAAAAGGCAAAATGGAAGATGTTCCAGACCCAGTTTAGGAGGTTTAGGTTTATTTAAAAAGTGACCAGGAATGGCAATGTGTCACATTGTCACTATTGTTTAATCTATTCGTGACTTACTTAAAGAGACGTTAACAGAATATGACAAGTCCATAAAGCATTTCTTGTTTTGCTATAGCATAGGAGCAGTCTACCAAGATTTGGTAAATTTAAGTGTTTAATCAGAGCCTCACTCCAAACATTATTCAACGCCAAATTTGCGTCAAAATGACAAATGTATTATGTGAAGTTTTGTCCGTTTTCATTACCTCCATATAGATCATCTGCACATTTTGCATTCATCATTTTTTATATTAAGATAATAATAGTATTAAAACATGCAGCGGACATGGGGTTTGCCATTATGTTTTGTTTAAATATTAATAAATGACATATTTCAGGGAAGATAAATGAATTATCGTAAGGTAATTTAAGAGCAAAGTACATGTACTTAAAATAGTACTGTCAAATAGTCTGTTTATTTAACAAAGTTTAAACTATAATTCACTTTTCCTTAAAATTCCCAAAAGCAACAAAAATCTCAGACGAATTCGAAATATGAATTGTTTTAAAGCTAGATTGAATACGCAGTTATATTTTTCTATGATTTTTTGATTGACACCTTGTCTGCTGTGTAAATATATAACAAATCATGACGCCAACATTAAAGTCTCAGTATATGACGGCTGAATACATATAGTTTAAAAGGTTAAAACGGATAATGTTCCGTGACGTGCCGAAGAATAAGCAATACGTTATAAGGCGCTCCTATGGTTTGCCAGCGCGCCTTGGTTTTGTTTATTTCCTTATCTACTTTAAAACATGGTTTGACATGTTGCATTTTAAACACCAGTCATCTGTTTTTGACAGCAAAAATATATGTCGCGCAGACATTATAGTGAGTTACGTAAAAATTATGCATTTCAAGTTTATGAAGGCCTTATAACCTTATAAAATAATAATAAAATCCCACACTAACAAAGAAAAGGCAGCCTGAATACGTAAGAAAAGCATACATGGCGGTAATTAACGTAATACATTGTATTGTATATAGAATAGTGTAATAAGGAGTAATTAGTAGTGCATTCTTTTTTGCACAAGACAATACATTGGTTCGAGTACTAACTGTAAATATTAATAGTTGACAAGGAATACAAGTAAGACATTTTGACACATCAAAATTTACATGACCTTTCGACCTCTAATCGATTAAACAGTTCGGCCCCTAAAGTTAAGCGTAAAAATATCTTCGGTTTCAAATGTTCAGTGTAAAAATATCTTTTAAAATTTACACATATAAACGACTCACATGTTTTCATTTAAGTAATGCTTGAATACTTTAACTATTCGTAATGAGTACAAATTTAATTTTATACGCACATTTAGTTCGTTTTTACTCCAGAGTTAGTACGATACATACATTATTCGAGCTGGTTTCCATGTCCTTTCACATTTTTTATCGAAAATGTCATTAATTCTAAACGTATTACCATCCACCATCAATTTAAACAATATTCACAATTGTTATGATGTGAGGATTTGCCACAAGGCCTATATATTTTTGCTACTGATGATTCAGAAAAAGAAATATAGAAGCGACTATGTGGAAACAAATATACTAAATCCTTTTTTGTCCGAGTATCTAAGTCGAATATGGTATTTGTATGGCTGACAAAACAAGCATTGATATATAAATTATAACTCAAATATTAATATACGACATGATCATTTGTGGAAATAGTTAGAACATAAAACAAATTTCGTCGCATATGTCAGGATCAAAATAAAAATAGTGCGATATTATAAATGTCATCGTATTTTAACATTTGACTCATTATTTTTGCCTAAATTCAGGCAATAGTCTGAGCTTGTTGCTACACTTAATTATTGTGCACATATTTTTGCTATAAACTGGTTGTGATGAGTATAATAATACATTTGTAACGGTCTAGTAACAATATTAAACTATAATCTTATTTACGGATTTTTATCTAGGATACCAGTAACATTGGCTCCAATCTCTACTCAATGATCTTCTATTCATTCTTCGACATAGCTTCAGTACTGATCAAGGGAAGTAACCGCTGTAAAAGGAGTTTGCATTGGCTCAATTATATAGTAACAGCATCACAGGAAAATGTCATGGAGATTCGTCTATTATTTTCGAAGAAAACAGTTTAGTGTGATACTTTTTCTTGACCTCAGAATACTACAGCGTACTTGAGCCAGTGCCAAGTGGCCAGGAAACTGACCGAAATAGTTAATTATCAAGATAGATTAAATTCAGCTGGTAATATTTACTGAATTATATTTTGTCATTTCTCATAGTCCCTGGTTTCTCCTGAGAACACATATATTGTAACAGTATTCATCATTTCGTTTCGAAGATATGTTGTGCTGTCAACAATGCACAACAAATTTCCACTGAAGTTTTACAGCTGAAATGATTCATAAATTTGCCACTAAACTTTAGCAATTTACATATGCAACAAAAATAGAATGATTAAATGAATCTAACAGTCATTGTGTCAGCATAGAAAACGTCTCTTCAGGTTTACAAAATGTTTTGCATATATTTTAAAATTAGAATAAAAAGCATAGTATCTTTGTCAGCAGTTATTTTCAACTTTATATAACATGTACCATTGTAAAACTTATTTAACCCTATTTCTGCTGGCTGCAACTGATTCTAGCTATGCGGCAAGTAGAAACCATGTTCAGCCGGCACCTCTGTTCGATATTCTGTCTGTACAAACCCACCTAAAATGATCGGGTTTGTCAAGACTGAAAGAATGACAAGTACGTTACTGTTGGACTCTTTCTGCCACAAGAATTGACATTATCAGTCATTTATATGCCTTAAAGGACACCTGCATGGAACATTTAATCAACATCTTTCTTACGATTTACGAGTTATAGACACTTTTTTGAATAGAGGCTTGGCTATTAGAAGAGGCTATTAGAAATAAGAAAACTCTTAATAATCTGTAACATCGTCTTATACGTAAAACGTTTTCTAAATGATAATTATTAAGAAACAAAGACGATAATTTTCCTGCTAAGAGAGCCTTATCCGAAATACCCCTAACATTAACCCAATTGAGGGGTTGTTTTCAAAGGTGTCTAAATTTTTCAGAAGTACAATGTTTTTTATCATTTAACCGTGTATTTTAAATTTTATAAGACTGAAAGGTACCAAATCTATAAATGAATTTAGCATTTTTTAGCAAATAAATACCTATAATAATTATATGATTAAAATCAGACACTGTTTTCTTTCAAAGAGGGATATGAATAATACAAAATAATGTTTAAAGAAAAAGAAAGAAGTATGTTGACCTTACTGACCAACGACTCTCGGTTTCAACCCAGTTGACAGTATTTGTAGCCTTTTAAATACTATTCAAAGCGGAGGTAATGCTTAGCATGGTCATACATTAAATCCCTTGCCCTGCGGGTTTTGGGTTTAAATGCATCTCTGTTTATCTAAGCACACAAACCTTGATAAAAGTTGTTTCAGTTTTAAAAAGTCTTCATCATTTTTCCATGTAGTCTTATACTAATTTATACAATATTATGTTGACGAGTTAAAAGGAATCGCTTTACTATTTGCACCGGCTTCAACATATTAGCATTTATGTTTGATTCTCACATCAGTAATTTTCAGAAATATCTTACACATCTGCTTCACTTTCAAATTCCACCACAATCTTCGCTTCACCCTTCTCTATGGAAGTATGCTACCCTGTCCAGTTCAATAATTGAACACATTCTGTGATAGAAGCTTCAGCATCATTGGACCCACGTTATTTGACGAATTGCTCTGAGATACATATAAAAGATATTAATCAATGTAAAAAAATCAAGATTTTCTTTTCTCGCCAAAAGAGTAGGATTTATATGCAGGCTGTGTCCTGTTGGTTTAACTTTATATGTACCTTTACTTATTAATTCTTATATTTGTTAAATGCCCAGATACAAGATTGTCCAAAAAGTTTCATTCTGAAAAATATAACGCATATGACGATTTTCGTTGGCAAATCGTGTTCTTGTTTTAAATGTACTATCAATGAAATGATACCATCTAGCATAATTACGCGCAAATCGTCTACAGGTGTATCTTATGTCATTCATGTAAATTTTGACATCATGCATCAACGTGTTTTTAAAGCAAAAAAGAAAAAAAACGTAAATTAAAGTAGGCCAGCTTAATGTATTTTTACCAACCTGATGATTAATGTTGCATTTGCTACGGTCTAGTTTTTGGACTAATCCGTTAATTCTAAAGACCTTGATATTTTTGATATCATAGTAAAATATGTGTTAAGGAGTATGAAGTACACGTATAAACAAAACATAGCAGTACAATTGACATCTATAAGATTATTGGAAATCTTATTATTCTTTTAGACTAGCATGCTGCATGGTATTTTATTAATTAAGATGAACATTGGAATGCAAACAGTTGTATGTATAAAAAAGACCAAATGTTTTGTGCTCGGTTCGGTTTGAGCATACGCTATGATACATTCCATTTGACATAACATTACATCAACTTTGATATGATCCATTCCTATGAATTCCATTAAGAAACATAAGTTTTGTATAAGAAATTAGTCATTACTTGAAACAAGTATAAAACAAGTATAATTCTGTATCTTTTTAAAGGTTCCGCCATGCATTTTGGCTAATATCATATTGTTGTATAACAATGGATACTTTATTTTTTATGACTTTCTGATAAAAGAATCAACTTGCTGTGCTCCCTGGGCCTCCTACACGCACTGTATTCACCTAACATAATAAACAAGAACCGGTTGAACCGGGTGATGCTCTCCAAATAGAGTTTGGACACAGGTAAGTATACCTCTTCTAGTGTCACAGTTATGTCATAGACAAAGGTTGTAAAATTGAACAAAGGGCAATAACTTTAAAATAAGGCAAGACAGAGTTAAGGTTCTTTTGCACTGCACTTCTATTTTATGAGATCAAACTACCTACACAGTTTCATATTGATACCTCTTATAATTTTGTAAGTATGACCCCGACAAAGTTAAAAGTGTAAAAATGAACAAATGGCAATAACTCAAAAATCAAGGTATACAGAGTTATGGTTCTTCTGCACTGCACTTTTACCCAATTAGATCTATCTTCCTACAAAGTTTCATGTTGATATCTCTTATAGTTTTAGAGTTATGTCCCGGACAAAAATCAAAGTGTAAAAATGAACAAAGGGCAAAAACCCCAAAATCAGGCAAGACAGAGTTATGGTTCTTTTGCACTGCACTTCTACCTAATGGAATCTATCTACCTTCATAGTTTTATGTTGATATCTCATATAGTTTTAG